GCGGCTTCCTGTCCGCTTTCTTCTAAATGATTTCATGTAGAGCGGTTATTGGCTCCGGGCTCAGGTGAATATATGGGAGAATAGACCAGCAACGCTACCTGAATTATGAAGAGGACCAAATATTCTCTGGATTAACACCGATTTCTAGAGATATACCCCTCTTCCTCTATTTATTTCTATAGATATACCCCTCTTCCTCTATTTATTTCTAGAGATATACCCCTCTTCCTTTATTTATATCTATAGATATACCCCTCTTCCTCTATTTATTTATATAGATATACCCCTCTTCTTCTATTTATTTCTATAGATATACCCCTCTTCCTCTATTCATGTCTAAGGATATACCCCTCTTCCTCTATTTATGTCTATAGATATACCCCTCTTCCTCTATTCCCCTCTCTCTGTCTCCCCCTCTTTCTCTCTACCCTGCTCTGTGCCCCTCTCTCTCTCTCTCTCTACCCTACTCTGTCTCCCCCCTCTCTCTCTCTCCCTGTCTCTAACCTGCTTTGTCTCTCTCTCTCTCTCTCTCTCTCTGTTTCTATCCTGCTTTGTCTCCCCCTTTCTCTCTATGTCTTTAACCTGCTCTGTCTTCCTCTCTTTATCTTGCTGCCCCACTCTGTCTCCCCCTCTCTCTCTGTCTCTACCCTGCTCTGTCTCCTTTCTTTCTCTACCCTTCCCCCTTCTCTCTTTCTCGATCTCCTCTCTCTTCCCCTTCTCTGTATATCTCCCTCTTTCTCTCCCTCTCCCCTCATCTCTCTCTCTTGTCTCTCTTTCCCTCACTTTCTTTCTCTAAAACCCCTCCACTTTCTCTCTGCTGCTCTTTCTCCTCGCCCCCCTAACACCCTCTTTCTCTCTCCCCTCCCTCTTTTCCCCTTTTCTCTCCCTTTGTCTGTATCTCCCTTCTTTCTCTCTCTACCCATCCCTCTCTCCCCCTCTTCTCTCTCGACCCCTCTTTTTGTCTTTCTCTCTACCCCCTTCTTCTATCTAAATCTCTCTCTATTCCCCCCTCCCCTTTCTCTCTCTTTCTCTCTCCCCTCTAACTCTCTTTCTGTCTCTCTCTATTCCCCCCCTTTCTTTCTTTCTCTCTCTCTCTCTATTCCTCGCCCTCCCCTTTCTTTCTCTCCCTCTATTCCCCCCTCCCCTTTCTTTCTCTCCCTCTATTCCCCCCTCCCCTTTCTTTCTCTCCCTCT